GAGAGAGAAAATAAAATACAGCTCGTGGACACGGTTGGAAACAATAAAATAAAATACAGTTACAAGTGACGGTAGGAAAAAATAGAATGAAATATATAGGTAGTGGAGACGGGTGGAAATTATTAAATAAAATACATCTACTAAAGACGGTTCAAAAATTTAAAAAATGATACAGCTACTGGAGACGTTTTATAATTTATACAAAGAAAATAAAATACAGCTAGTGGAGACGGTTAGAAAATTTGAAATAAAAAACAGCTAATGGTGACGGTTAGAAAATTTGAAATAAAATACAGCTAGTGGAGACGGGTAGAAAATTTAAAGTAAACTAAAATGCAGCTAATACTAATAGTGACGGTAGGAAATTTTTTTTTTTAATGAAGCTTTTTGAGATGGTTGAAAAAAATAAAGTAAAATATAGCGCGTGAACACGGTTGGAATGTAGAAAATAAAATACAGCTACAGTAGACAGTTGGGAAAAAGGGAAAAAATTAGTTACTGGAGACGGTTGATAAATGTAAAACAAAATTACTGTTACATGTGACGGTAGGAAAGAATAGAATGAAATACAGGTAGTGGAGACGGGTGGAAAATATTAAATAAAATACATCTATTAAAGACGGTTGAAAAAAGTAATATATAATGCAGCTACTGGAGACACTTTGGATAAATAGAAAATAAAATACAGCTAGTGGTGGCGGTTGGAAAAATATTTTTTAAATACAGCTTCTTGAGACGGTTGAAAAATAGAAAATAAAATACAGTTACAGATGACGTGTTTAAAATGAAAAGTAAAATACAACTGGTGTAGAATAAATATTGCTAATGGAGACTTGGAAATATTTTTTTTTTAATGCAGCTACTGGAGACAGTTGGAAAAAAGGGAAAAAAATTAGTTATTGGAGACGGTTAAAAAATAGAATATAGCTAGTCGAGACCATTGAAAAAAATAAAATAAAATACAGCTTGTGGAGACAGTTTGGAATATAGAAAATAAAATACAGCTAGTAGTGACGGTTGGAAAATTTAAAACAAAATACAGCAAGTGGTGACGGTTGGAAATTATTTTTAAAAATACAGCCTCTTGAGACTTTTGAAAAATAGAAGATAAATTAATACAGTTACCGATGAAGTATTTAGAATAAAAAGTAAAAGACAACTGGTGTTGTATAAAATATAGCTACTGGAGACAATTGAAAACATTTTTTTTAATGCAGCTACTGGAGACAGTTGGAAAAAAGGAAAAAAATTACAGTTATTGGAGACTGGAGAAAAATATAAAATAAAATACAGTTACTACATGCAGTGACGGTTGGAAAAAAAATAATAAAATACAGTTACTAGTGACGGTAGAAAAAAATAAAATGAAATATAGGTAGTGGAGACGGTTGGAAAATATACAATAAAATACATCTACTAAAGACGGTTGGAAAATAAAAAATATAATACAGCTAGTGGAGACGGTTGAAAAATATAAAATAAAATACAGCTAGGAGAGACGGTTATAAAATATAAAATAAAATACAGCTAGGAGAGACGGTTATAAAATATAAAATAAAATACAGCTAGGAGAGACGGT